TTTTTTTTTTACTTAAGTTAAATGAAAGAACCTATTTGTCTGTATGGACCAACTTTAAGTTAAAAAAAAAAAAAGAGTGGTTTTGTTAGTGAAAAAAAACTGAGCGCAACTTATATTCATATTATAGCTCCTGAAATTTTATCACAAATCTTGTGATATTCAGTACTGGTCTGAAATATTCCTTGACCTTTAAACCAATCACAAAATTTCTAGGGATTTAATTTTTGGTTTAGACCACTGTGGACTGCAATACTAGCTCATTAGCCATCCACAGCATCAGAGCACTACAATCACTTGCCTCTGCACAAATCTCTTCATAAATGTTTCATATGTTATTCTAAACTGAGACCCTAGACTCCATCATCATTTGCCCATAATTAACTTACTTAACTCCACATCCTCTAAGAACCAAGATTTCACCTGCTTTACATGTATAGAAAAGGAGATTATTTTTTAGCTTTGGTTCCAGCCATTGATGACTTTCAAATTTACTGTAGTCATGCAAGATATCGGTGATACTTAGTTTAGAAGGGATATTTTCAGTCCTCACTTGCCATTCAAATGTGAAACAGTGGGAATGGATGGAAGCCTTTGAATGAATATCATTTGACATGTTCTGCTTGTTTATAAGCAGTTTGCAATTTTGTCATACAAATTTGTCATACAATTTTGTCATTCAAAATTGGATGCCTATTTCTTGCAAATATTCTGTAGTCTGTCAATTGTACTCCAGTAGATCCTTCCAAATATATAAAGTCTGAGCCACTCTAGGTATATCTGACTATAGACACTGCTCATGCAACATTACATTTGCTCCTCAGTTCTTGACCACAGCTTTCAGAACCCAGATTTCCTTCTACAGAGATACCTTAAACAAAACCAAAATTAGTTTTCCATTACTGTTTCCTAAGATTCAGTGTTCCTGTAAAAACTACGATCAATAATTTCATTCACTAGAATATCTGAAGACACTAAGCATAAGAGGAGAAGCAAGAGGAGTAAACTACTGTGAACATACAGGCTTCTTTTGTAGATAAGAACAGGGGTCCTGACTCAGCAGGCCTTTCGGATGAAGCTTAAAATTTAAGTGCTTGATTAATTCCATAGATGCCTTTTAAGCATATTCAAGTGCTCAAAGACAAAAATTGGGATATTTTGAAATTTTACCATACATGGAAGAATGCCACACACCACAGCAAAACTAAACTTGTCATGGTAGAATTAAAAGAATGAAGAATTATTATAAATTACTGTACCATCACCAAACTGCAGTTATTTTTTTCTAATTGTTGTTAAGATATTAACCTATTGAGTGGAAAAATTCAACCCACCTATGTTTAGTCAACTGTAAGTTGCTATCTAGACTATTGTCATTGTCTACGTAGTCAGTGGAGAGAACTCATGCAACACACTACTGGAGAACCCAAATCAGAGTTGACCAGGAAGACAGTTTACATGGCTAGCTTCTATTCCAGGCCCAACAGATGGTGAAATGAGACTGTGGAACTTAGAAGAGATGGGTCAAAACATCACGAACGATTTTCTGATGTTCTTACATAATCCAGTAAAATCCTATGTGCTGCAATGTTTTGAAGCAATCTGCACAGAAAACATGCTAAGGATTCTACACAAAAATTACCAAAAAGATTGAAGGTGCAGAAGAACTATAGTCAATATGTTTAATAACCTCAAATTGATCAGAATTTTTGTATGGAAAAAGAGATTATGTACTTCAAAAATGTTTCAAAAGTTGGGAATTTATCCTTCCTCACACAGTCTTTGTTCAAATTCACACCTACTTCCAAACAGAATAAATATGGCTTTGATGCCAGGCAAAATCATTTCAGTTTTTGTTTCTAATGTGAAGACCTCCTCAAAAACAAACAGCTTGACCAGCTGAAGAGTGTATCATCTTGACTCGCATAAATGGACAGTACAAAGTAATAACATAATATGCCACATTTCTTTTTACATCAAAAGAAGACAGATTTCAAAGAATATTTCCAAGAAAAACTGTGCAATTCCAAAACCAAAGAGGGAGACCAATGGTCAAGAGGTCTGAGTTTCATTTTTGTTTCTATCCTCTACTTGTTAGGTGACCTAGAAAAAGTCACTATATCTCTGGTTTCACCATAACCACTTAGATCATAAGCTCTTTGAGACAGGATCAAAAAGACAGTTTTTACCTGGTGATTGCACAAAGCCTAGCAGAAAGAGGTGTCTAGAGGAACATAAAGGTTAATATTAACTAAAAAAAAATCTATTAATGTATAAAACAGAAGTAGGCCACTCAGTACTGTTTACCTTCTAATTGCAAAAAGAAACATCAATGAACATTCTATTAATCGCATGCATATAACACAAGAAACTGAGCTAAGTCTTATTCTAGCTTCCTTCAAAAGTGGAACTGAAATCACTGACATGAATATCTAGGGGAACATCTGTGCATCATATCCATTGGTGTCTTCTCTCTCTACAAAACTGCCTCTCCTACTTACTAGGATTTTTTTTTTTTTAGCTTTTGTTATTGCAGCAATTATTATTCTCACATTGAAAGGAGTGGAAAAGATCAGGATTACCTGATTCATTTCCTAAGGCAACTGAAAAAGGTGGTGAAGGGAACAGATTTACCACCTGTGTGGCCAGTGAGCCACACAATAACAGTGGATCAAATAATAAGATTAGAAAGTGTAAAAGCCTTTTACATAAAGTGGTTCAAGTGCATGGCAGATCAGGACCATTCCCTAAAGCATACTCACTAATGTATTGTCCAGAAATTTTTAAAACGTTCCTCATAAATGTGTGTAGTGTGCACAAAATTTTCCTGTATTGTAATATTCCTGCTGGGACTGGCCAAAGACCCAAACATCCTGTCTTAGTGTCTGTACCACCTAGGAAGAAATTTATGAAATGTTTTGGTCCTGCTGCTTTCTGGTTGTTTGGGCATCAGGGAAATACAAAACTAAGTCTGTTAGATCCTGTAAGTCTTTTCCTGTTGATTCTGGCACAAAAGTACATATTTTAGAGCTGGAAAACGGAGATGTTCTCCCTGCACACCCAAGTGGGTTAAATTTCATAACAGAGGATCAACCAGTAAGGAAAAAAATATTCCTTTACTGAAAATATTGGATGAATTTTACAGTGAGTGGGATGATATGGAATGGTCTCATCATTCTGTCATTCTGTGAATCCACAAAGGAGAATGAGAGCAGAGCAAGAATAGCCATGTTTACTTGAAGTCCACAGACAAGCATTTGTATTTGATCATGTGGGCAAAATAAAAGTAGAATATATCTAACACGAAATCTGAGCTTTCTCCTCTGACAAAAACAGTTCATTAACCAAGGTATTTCTGCAGCTTGCCTGGTTTCAAATGTAACTGAAGAAGAAATTCTAATTACAACATGATAAAATAAAATATTAGATATACTGCATAATAGAATGCAATAGTTCTTAATTTGTGGAACACACACTACTCCACCTTCTAGTCACTAGCACAGGTTGTCATTGGTACCACTAGTATCATGTACTATTGACAATAATGTGGGTACTTAGAAGTTGTTATTAGGTAAGACACAATATGTATAATATCAAAATGGCATTCTTATAAATTATAATTATTCCAATACTTAACAGATGCCATTCAGAATCTATCAAAAGTGGGAAATGTTCAGTTAAAGGCTAGTGTCCAGACAGGGAAAAGTCCAGATGGGAGTGGTAACATTTGGCAATATTATTTTCCTTGTAAATCAAATAAAAAATGCAGGATTGCCTGACAAGTGTTTCTTTCCAGAATGAAGATACTAGATGAAAAATTTCTTGTATGCATGGCCAAACAATACTGCTAGATTTCTAAAACCAGCCAGGCTATCATCAATACCCTTAAGAGGAACCCCCTGCAGCAGTTGCAAGCTGAGTGTAACGCAGTGACCACCTCTTTATGTGCAGCCTCCTCCCGGTATGCAACCCTGGAGCAGCACTGTTTTGGTCAGCATTGTGTGGTTTATCAACTTGGAGCAATTTTTACTAAAGAATTCAATGGAAGGAGCTGGAAAGAGCTGCTCCAAGAGGAAAGTTGGCCTTCACTACTTGGGGCTCTGCCAGTGACCTCATAGTTTCAACAATAGTTTCACCACTCATTCATCACTACAATGACATCTGTGTGCAACCACACATGAAACAATTAAGACATTTAATTTTTTTCTTAAAAAAAATTACTTGAATGGCCTAGCTCAAGATACTAAACTAAACTAGTTTCCACTATACAGAGATTTTGCTTTAAAAATATAAAACATTGAGACAAAAATACTGGTGAATTAATGACAATATATTAAACTGCTTATCGTACGGAAGTTCTAGATTTGGTTCTGGTTGTGTGTTTAAAAATACGTCTCTTCAGTGGGTAGGAGACAACATGCTGTCTTGGTTTGAGACCCCTAAAATCCAATTCCCAAGCCCAAGCCCCATTCCCACATCTCACGCCAGTGTGAGATGGGTTTTCCAGACACAACACAAGACTCAATATGGGGGGAAGGGAATTGTATTATAATCACTACACAAATAAATATTATAATACATTATATATACAATCTTAACTATCCCTCCTATGATAAATCAGTATTTACAATGGATCAGTCTCTTCTCCCTCCAATAAAAGTCCAGACAGGAAAAGGAAAGATCCTTTCCACTCTCAGATCAGCAGCCTCTCTTCTTCCATGCAGCAGCTGTAGCTGGATCTCTTTCCATTACACACGAGGGAAGTCTTCTCTCACCCTCTCAGCCCTTCGACTCCAAGCGAAGGTCTCTCTATTCCGTGGACTGCGTAAGCAGGTACAGGCTCACTTCACCACATCATATCACAAAGTGCAGGGGGGTCTTTGTGACGGTCCCTTTCCTCAGGGAGGTCAAGCTCCCTTGAGTCAGAATGTGAGGGTAGCTTTCAGCTGAAAGCCTTTGCCTCAAGTGTTCCGTCAGAGCTCCTGTGCTCCGTCTCAGCTGCCAGCTTGGCAGCAGCAGTGGGGGAGCCAAGGTCACCCCCTCCACATTCCGTCTGGCTATCCCAGTCCAGCTCCGGAACGTCTTTGAGCTTCTCAGTTCCTCTCTCTCCGGTGCTGCAGCACTCTAAGACTCCTCTCAAGTAGGAGTCCATCTCCTCCTCCAAGGAGGGGTCTCAAAAGGGTTTTGAGGGGTTTGGCTCAGTTCTTACCCCAAAACTCTGTCTCTGTAGAGCTTAGTTCTCTCTCTCTCCATTAGAGATCTCTGTCTCTCTGCTTAGCTGCATGCTTGTTTCTGGTGCTCCTTATCTCCTTCTGGCTCTCTGCCACTGTTCTCCATCCACTTCTGTCTCCGCCACTGCTTCTTCTATCTTCTGCTGCCCACTCACAGTGGAGAAACTTCCTCCAGCTCTTAGCTACAGATACCTGTCCCAGTCTAACACTGTTCCAAGTTCCTGCAGCCCCCCAGCCAGGGGCTGTGGGGGACCTAGCCCCCAAGGGTGCTCTGGACCCCTCTCTCTCTCTCTCCTCGTGGTCTCAGAACAATGGCCACTCTCCTCTTCAACTACCTCATCACCCTTCTTTTCCAGTCTGGTTGTGATATGTTTAAATTTTGCATGAGCGTTGATTGGATCAACCCCAAGGGACATCACCCCCTCGGGGGTTACCATTTTTTTTTTTTTAACTCCGGGGGAAAAAACACTTTTTTTTTTTCCCAACACACATGCTTAACTAACAAAACAAGAAATACATTGACATGCATGCTAGAGCAATTGAGCTGTGAACTATCTTTTGCTGAAGAATCTTTCATAGTATGACACGGATCAATATTTAAAGAAACAGTGCTTGAATTTGACCACTTTTAGTAGCTTAGATATATACATTTAAGAGATTAGCATGAGGTTAGTACGGAATTAAAAACGGGATGTTTTTCATAGCAAGTTTCTGTCAGATTGAGCATGAAAGACAGAGAGGTGCTATGCTCTCAGGGATCTTTACAGCTCAGCTCAGCTGAGTTGTCCCCTCATGTCTCAATCAGACAATGACTAACAGGAAAAAGTGACAAGCAATCCTTTTTCTCCTCTGGTAAGTCTATGTCTCATATTTCTTTCAGGAATACTGATGTGCCAGTGAGAGAGTCCTGCAACATTAGTATCAGGTATAGATGTTGATATACGATTTCTTTCAAATAAATCTATGGTAAGTTGGATCTGATTTATTACTGCTTGAGAAGCTACCTTAGGCAAAGTATTAAATGACAGAACCTTTTTTGTCTAGTGTGATGTCCCTTTACATATGTTGTACTTTCATCATCGGGGATGCCTTCAGAGTTCTACCAAACCCAATTTGGGATAAAGCACTTTTGACAAAATGAAGAACCAATCTGCACAGTAGAGAGAAGAGTCCTGGAAGAAAAGCAGCTCGGTGTGTCTGAGCCCAGGTTGTGGGATGCATCTACCACAGAAACTTATGGAACTGGAAAAGTAGATGAATAAACAAGCAAAAAATGAAGGCTATGAGTAAGTTCCGAGCTCTCAGAAACTGGGGACAATGTCAAAGGGGAATCAAGGTGACAAAGATGGAAACAAACTCTAGTGGGATTTAGAGACAAGTCCGATGCATGGAGGATATCTAGACCCTTAGACCAGCTGTTACTTTTAAAAGTCAATATGGCCTCCAGTTTAGGCCTGGGCTGTATTAGGAAGTATAATCCCTTGGTAAAGTAGGATATCAGCTTGAGCTGGCCTGACTTTTCAATAAAAATCTTACTGTCCTATGTCAAGTTTAAAGATTCAATTCTTATGTCAAACAAATTTAAATTAAATCATGTTAGCACAGTCTTACTCCATGATGAGACGCATCCCAGAGTCCTGAGGCAAACAGCTGATGTAGTTTCCAAGCCATTCTTTATGGTATTTGAAAAGTCAGGTGACATCCCAGGAAAGGGAAACATGCTATCCATCTTTAAAAAGGGTAGAAAGAAGAACCCTGAGAACTAAGAACGTGTCAGTCTCCTCTCTGTACCTGGGAAGATCACAGAAGCTATGCTAAAACATGTGGAGAACAGGAAGGTGATTCAGGACAACCAGTATGGCTTCACCAAGGACAAGTCCTGACTAACCAACCTAGTGGCTTTTTATCATGGGGTGACCACATCAGTGTACAAGAGTTACAGACTTCTTTCATTTGGACTTATAAAAAGCCTTCGACACAGTCCCCCACAACATCCTGCTCTCTAAATTGAAGAAAGATGGATTTGATGGGTGAACTGTTAGGTGGATAAGAAAGTAGTTGGGAACTTGCATCTAGAGGGTAGTGGCCAGTGGCTCAGAGTCCCAGTGGACATCAGTGACAAGTAGTGTCTCTTAGGAGTCTGTATTGGGACCATAGTTATTTAATATCTTTATTAATGACATAGACAAAGGGATCAAGTGCACCCTCCACAAAATTGCTGATGACACCAAGCTGAGTGGTATGCTTGACACACCTGAATGACAGGACACCATCCAGAAGGACCTGGACAAGCTTGAGAAGTGGGCCCATGGGAATCTCATGAGGTTTAATATGACCAAGTGCAAGGTGTTGCATGTGGGTCAGGGCAACCACTAGTATCAACACAGGCTGATGAACAGCTTAAGAGTGGCCCTGTCGAGAAAAACTTGGGAGTGCTAGTGGATGAGCGGCTGGACATGAGTCAGCAATGTGCACTTGCAGCCCAGAAAGCCAATGGTATCCTGGGCTGCATCAAAAGCAGCATGACCAGCAGGTCGAGGGGGGTGATTCTTTCCCTCTACTCTGATCTGGTGAGACCCTAGCTGGAGTACTGCATCCAGCTCCAGGGTCATCTACAAAGAAGGACACTGACCTGTTTGAGCGAGTCCAGAGGAGGGCCACCAAGATTATTAGAGGGATGGAGCACCTCTCCTACAAAGTCTAAGAAAATGAGGATTGTTCCACCTGGAAAAGAGAAGGCTTCGAGTGACCTAATTGCAGCCTTCCAGTCCCTGAAGGGAGCCTACAAAAAAGATGGAGAGAAACTATTTACAACAGTATGTAGTGACAGGACAAAGGGGAATGAATTCAAACTAAAAGAGAGTAGCTTTAGATTAGATGCTAGGAAGAAATTCTTTACTGTGAGGGTGATGAGGCAGTGGAACAGGTTTACCAAAGAAGTTGTGGAGGCCCCATCCCTGGAAACTTTGAAGGCCAGGCTGAATGGGGCTGTGAGCAACCTGGTCTAGTGGAAGGTGTTCCTGCCCATGACAGGGTAGTTGGAGCAAAATGATCTTTAAGATCCCTTCCAACTCAAGCCATTCTATTATTCTATAATTAAATGTCACTAGACTTTTTAGAACATGAGCTAATTCCATTGTAAGTTCCCTAGAGCAAAAGCATCCCCTGTGGAGACACTGTGTCTAACCAAGTAGGTAAAAATATTTAGTATTAAGGTATAATAACAACAACAACACCTTGTAGACTTGAAGATAGGTCTGAAAAGGGCCTACAGCTAATCACCATTAGAAAGTTTGAAAATTGATGAAAAATCACTGAATATTTATTTAGTTTGATTTTGGGATCTTAAACTGTATCTCAGCTAATATCTCAATAATTTTGAGATTCAAATAAACATCCCTTTAGTGTAACATAATAACACATGCATAAGTGTATTTTACTAGTTGTCAACAATAAAATTTCAAGAGGAGGTAGTGATCCTATTAAAACAAAACTCATATATTAGCAAAGAAAAGCTCTGATGAGGAGCAGATCCTCTTTTCTTGAAATTGTGTGATAAAGGCATTCCCTAAAAAGTTCAGTGTGGGAGATTGTTTCCTCTACTTTTTGAAGGAGAGAATAGAAGAACTTGTAGACTTCCCCAAGAAAGCACAAATCTTCATTCATGAAAATGAACAAGGAAAATAATTTTGACTGGAACACCTCTCTCACTCGGGTTCAGATGGAGTGACCAAAATCTTCACCCAGTAAATCCGCACAGCAAGCAACCCTCCTCAAAACAAATTGGTAGTAAATATCCACAGCAAATAATATATATAGCATATATATACACACAGCAAATATAGGCAGCAAGGTTTTCAGTCACATCAACACCTGACGAGCATCTTAAATTTTCTCTTCATTGCAGGGACAGTTATAACCATGAATTTGGAAACTGTTTTGTGGAGATATTTACCTATTTACTTATTTATTGCTAAATAAACCTTTTTGTAACACAGAGCTGCTTTAGATTGTTTGGATATGGGGAGGCAATACGTTCTGCATGCACAGTAGGAAAGATCCACTTTGGGACCTTAATTTGAAGAACTAATATTAATGGAATAAAACACATATGTATTTACATTTTTTAGTCCTTTTTCTTGGCTATGGTAGCACTAAATGGTCATGCTAAACACCTTGAGGTCAAAAGTTAAATTATTCTGCCTACATGTTTTTACTGTTTTTTCTATACTGTTCCAACCCAGCCCATAGTCAGGAAACTTTCAGAGAAAATGGTACTATTCTTTGACTTTTGCAAGGACCTCTCCCTGTTTAACTATAAACTGAACAAACCCTAAATGCTTCCCGGGGCTGCTGATAAGCACCCAATACCTCTGAATGGCTTGCATTTGCAAAGCTAGGAGGGAAATCTTGTAAAAAGTCTTTCCTGTAATTCCAGACAATTCCTGTTTAAGGTCAAGCCAGAAATTCTTCACAAATAGTTTCTCTCAGGGTACAGAGTTATTTCCTTTTCAGGTTCTGGCTAGGATCCAAAGCACAAAAGAATGAGGAGAAAAAAACCTAATGATAATCAGAAAATTAACTAAAACTCTATCTCAAAAATGCTCTCACTAATACTTGCACTACAGTTTGGCAGACAGTCTTTAAAATCTGATATCAACCTGAACAAAATCAAATGTGATACCTTAACATGCTCCCCATCTTGACAGTCTGATAGGTAAGGTGCCCTCTGACCTCCAATTGCCTCTTTTTTATGTGACAGTTTTCTGTCTCTGCTGATAAAGCACTTTCACAAAAAACGAAAAATATTTTTCAGCTTCAGTCCATATTTGCAAAAGATTGCAATGGCTGTAGAGTGAGTGGAATTTCTTACCCACTAACATGAGGGGAATCTTTATATATTTTTGTCATGGCTCCAAACACCAACACAAGGATCAGTAGATTAAAGGGGATACTAAAGATCTGTACTAAAAGCAGACATATTTGTTCTCACTTTCTGGCTATTTTCGTTAATTTATTTCATAAACCTCTTGACATTATTTTAGCTTTTTCCAACATAGCAGTGAATGTACGTACCCTCTTCATTTTATTTACCAGAAAACAGTAATCAAAGGCAGATGGACCATCTGGATCAAATGCCAAGTTCTCTAACATGTTAGCCCAAGAAATCTGAGCTCTGAACTGTACTTCGACTGCAGTTCTGGTTTGGATTTCAGGTAAATAATTTAAAATAGGAAAACTGTGCCAACATAAATCAATTTCCTGTGTTATTTTTGTGTTTAATGTAACAGCAAGTGCCTCATTCCTGAGTGACATGATGAGACCACAACATAGCAAGGGCAGAAATACCCCTCAATAAGGCTTTGGTTTGGCTTCCTGAATCCTTTGAAAATGAACCTTGCCAAAAGTCTCATGTATGGTTAAACCAGAACCTATCAGAGCCCTCATCATGAGTTAAGTAAGTATTGTGATTTGCAGGTCTTCTGTTTCTAGTTAGAACAAGAGAAGAATGGAAAGCATGAATTCAAAGTAACAATCCCTGCCTCCACTTTTGTCACCGAAAATTTACTCTTATAGCCCCAAACGTACATAAATTTAGGTTCAGTATTCTATTTCACTTCATCATTCTTCACTGGTTTGCACAGTCACAGGCGGTAAAAATTCTAAAACAATATCTACCGCATTAGAGGACATTGTATCAGGGCCTATTCTTTGGGTTTGGTTGTGTGGGGCCTGGCCCACATCCATGCTTTTATAGTGTCCCACCTTGCAAGACAGGGTGGCAGCATCCAGATTATTTGCCAGAAATGGTTTATGCTCCATGCTAACTTCTGAGTTCTCCCTAGAACATCCCTGGGAGAGCATCAGTTACTAAATGGTCTTAGTAACTAGATAATATAAAGGTTGTGACATGGTATGTTGAATTTATTAATGCAGGTGTAGAGTAGAAATCCTTGCATGCAGCTGGATCTTTCCTTACTGAGAAGGAGGAATTTTCAAACATAATACACTCGGAAAGTACATTTCTTCTATTAGTGGTTGTATCAATATTGCTAAAATACATGTGACGTTCACTGGGACTGCAGTGAACTTTTTCTGTAAATGCAGTTACCTAACAGTATTAGAATATAAACACCCTTCCTGAAGACTATGTGAATCTGTTCAATGTTTTGAAATTCTTAAAAGAATTAATTTTCTCATGGTCTTTTTGAGATCTGCTCTCTTAGTAAATAAAAAAATAGCTTTTCTGAACTTCTATCTGTGTTCCTAGTTGGGAAATGAAAAAGCAAAGAAATATACATTAATGAAATAGTTGCTTAAAAAAACGGATTCAGCAAAAATTTTAATTTGAATTGAAGCTAATTTGGTATTACTTCAGATCAGCTCCTATGTTATCTCAATGCTTTGCCAACAGTAAATATAACATTATCTGCTGGACTACTGGAGGCTGTCAAGTCACCTCTATACACTCAGAAAATAAAACAGGCTTATGTTCTGGATATTTCTGCATTACAGTCCAAGTTGGAAAATGGCTCTCAGCTGAGCGTTTTAAGGGCTTCAGGAAAACACCATCGATTTAAGCAAAGCATTTAAAGAAAATAAAAAATAAATTCAAATTTTTCAGTCTTCCCATTAGAAAGTCCATTTAATTCAATTTTTAGGAACAGTAGCAGAAAAATTTATGCAAAAAGGCTGTGTACATTAATATATATTCCACATGGATTAATATGGCTTGGTCCTAGCCTACACAGAGGAGAGGAACTGTGTCCCTGCACTATTCCTTCGGACCTCCATTGGATATGGCACATCACAGCTCTGAAACTTGTATTTCCTAAACTAATTGGAAAGATGATGACACTGTTACAGGCTGTGGAAGAGAAAGTCAGAAATTACCGGGTGGTTGAGGGGAAAAGAGGGAGGAGATAAGGAGGAATTTATCAGATTGATCTTAGTCTTCTGCTTTGGGATGAAACTACTCACGTTACGGGAGTTCCCTGCTTGTCTTTACATATTAAGTGAACTGCAGAGCACCATTCTGCAGATAAAGTATACATTTTTGTCCAGCATTAACCAAGATCAATCCCACTTTGTATTTGTAATGGAGATATGCACACACATACATCTATACATTTGTGAGAGCACATGTACAAGTACATTTTCATATGCATCTTCTTGTTCTTTCTTTGGCCCCGTGAGTTTGTTTCTTCTCTTCACATGTGCCATTTCACACAACATTATTTCCCTTTTTCCATTAATGAAGAACTCACGTGTTTGACGTTAAGAGCAATTTGCAGAAAATTATTATAGGCATCAGCATAGTTTCCCCTTACAGATGGACTAGGCAAATGTGATATATGTTTAACCACCTTTAATGCTGCAGAAAAAAATGCCAGTATTAAAGTACAGTCTGCTGTTCTGATATACCTACTTGTCAGTTAGTCTACATATCATCTTTCCCTCATGTTTCTAAACCATGGGCCGGAATCTCTCCTGCCACATGCAGAGGTGGAAGTGGACGGCAAATGCCTAGCAGCAATCATACCACAGGTGCTCTCTACTCCCTCCAGCCTCCCAGGAAAATCAAGCAATGTATTCTCACCTCCCATTCTGCTGAAAAACTGCAAAACACTATAATCATAAGGACAAACCATCATATATGGTGGCTTCAGCAACCAGAGTTACGGTCTCTCCTGAAGAGCAGGAGAGACCATAACTATGTTCGCATTTCTGGATTTAATTCATATTTCCAGATTTAAATTTTCTGTTTTCAGCAGCTTGGCTCTTTTTTTTTTTTAATAAAGGTCAAAATAACGTTGTGGGAAGCAGATATAAATAAAAAACAAAATATTTATTAAAAAAAACAAACCAACCAAACCAAAACATGCCTAATTAAAGATTTTTACCATCTCCCAGAATATACTACAGTTTGTATCTGCTGTTCCATCAGTTTCCATCACATGTTAGAGAACTTAAAAAAAGCAACACTCCTACATGAAATTTCACAGTGAAGAAAAACACTGAAGTTTCCTTTAAAAGGGCTTTTCTGTCTTCACATCTCTGAGACATATTATTTGGAACCATTTTTGCACATCCAAAGTTCAGGATACTTCAAAGCCATTAGCAGTAGCTAAATATTACTGCAAAGAAATAGCAAACAAAACACTGAAAATATGTCAGCCTTGTGTGTCAGATTTCAAATGTCAGAACTGATTACTTTAGCTGCTATTGATTTCTTTTCTACTGCAGCAGAAAAATCTTAAAAATAAACACAAGACAGTTAAAATAAATTTTATCTGTTCTTAGGATGTCATGTGACCATTTACTTATGAAAAGGTATTATAATGATGCATTTTGTTTTATAGCTTTGGAGGAAAAAATATAGAAAAAATGCAGGTACAATGCAAACCACAGTACCTCCACTGCAACAGAAGGAAGAAGTGTGCTCATCAAGTAAGGTAAACCCTGGCTGATTTTGGTTTTGGCCTCCTGCTGATTGTTTCTCACTTATGGACATGAATGTCCACAATAGCAGCCTTCAAAGTGGCACACTTCTTTATGTCTGTCCCGTCCACTCACCTTGTTGGAAATAAACCCAGCCAATTAGACATGCATAGCCAAATATTTCTCACTAGAAAATGCAGTTTGGCCACGGCTCAATCTCTGATATCTTCAAGGAATTTAGCACTACAGACTTTAAATTTTTTGGTTTAAATTGGTAGAAACCTCAGGTTTTCATAGCATTTCTGTTCTGAACTTTTTCATTTAGAACCACAGTTGAATATAAAGTGCAATACCAATCTCTTTTGTGAGAGAAATATTTTAATAAATTAAGCATTTTGCAACTGTAAAATACTAAAATAACCCAGTCAGCATTGTTTTACCCAAGATGATTGCAATTAAAAATTCATTACAAAAAAATAAAATAATGAGAGTAGCTACTCATGGTGATCCAGAATGGAAATTTTGAACTCTTGAAAATCCATCTGGGACAGGAAAGGTACCCTCTTCTGAACATGACTTACATCTGGCAGTTCAGTCAGCTCTTGAGTTACTCACTGGCCAGGTATATTGTTTCCTTACATTCAGGGATGTTTAATACAAAATGGAGAGTAAAATCTATACTCCTAATGCCATGCCTTTGAAGTGTTTTACCCTGTAATTTATGAACTAAAGCCATTCTTTACAAAAACACATAAGACAGGGGCTATCTAACATGTATAGAAATAAGAGGAAAAGGTTCCCTGCACTGTAGGAAAATAATTATGTAAGTATGTTATTTATCTTTCTCTTTGAGACAATGTAGCTGTAAATGTCTACCCAGAAGAAACAATAATTGTGCTTTTGTGTGAGGCATTACAGCCACCACTTTGCACAAGAATTAATACAATGTTTATAAATGGCCAGTGCAACTAAGAGTAGTTTCTGACCACAAGGTAAATACTGTATATTTTCTACTGTCTTTCTACTTTGTTCTCAGTATTATTAGGTATGTCAAGAAATATGTGAAACTGAAAGGCCAATTTACTCAGTTAATATATTCCTCTGGTCTATGATTAGTTCAGTTTCAATGTGGGCACTTTGAACACAGCCTTTAGACCCCTTCCAATTACCAACAGATAAGTTCCTATTTAACAGAGTTATTTAGTCTCACAGTCTTCTCATGACCTGTCCAAGTTAATAAGGAATTGGTCTATGGAAGACTTCACATAGATGGCTTACCTTACAGAGTGAAGTTACTCTCGGGGTTCTCTATGGAAATCATTTCAAGGTTATGGTGAAAGATGTGGTGGTTCATGACTTTTCAGAGGGAGTAGAGATAAAAACTTTCTAGGTGTAGTAGAGTAGTAAGCGAGAAGCCTGACTAAAACTTCTGCTTATTTGTGTCCATTTCAGACCTTCCTATAGACAAGACCAACTAGTTGTGACCAAAAGCCCCTCAATTCAAGCTTCTTGCTTATATTAATCTTGCAGCAATGTTAAATTAAATAACATTGATGATGGTTTCAAATGAAAAAAGAAAATTCTGCTTATTTTTATATTGAAAGGAATTACTGCTTTCTATCAGCAGTTGAGCAGAGTACTAATATAGAAATGGCTTCTCAGTTGCTTCAGGTTTATGTAAACAGACTGCCCAGTCAGGGGAAATTCTTTAGCAAATATAAAAAGCCTGTGGTTCACTGATATAAGTAATGCCTTGCTCCTTCTGCCTTACTAGATTTTGTGGGTTTTTTTCTGATAGTTTTAAGTAGATGTCTGTTATGTCAGTATAATATATCCTGCTTAAAATTGGTACAGCCATGAAATTATAAGCTCCAGAAGTATCTTAAAGTAGCTTCACCAAGGAGAGAGTACAACTATTTCCTTCATAGGTAAAGATACAGCAGGTTATTTTCCAGTCACTGAAAGTTTGCTCCATAATTCTAGTATATGAAATCCAAAAGCAGAGATTTTATTTTAGAAGAGGATTATGGTCCTACAAAGTAGCAGTAGTGATAATAATAGTAATAATAGAGTTTTTTGCAATCAGTATCTGGTTGGCCTTCACATCAGCTCTGTGATGACATTTACATGTCAGTGATAGAAATAACTATTGAGAGTAATTTTATATACTGAAGAAAAATGAATCCACAAAAAAGGCAATTTCCTCTAATGATGGCCTTAATTTTACATGAAGTGTCTAAACCCAACACTGGCTTCATTCCAACTCTCTGCCAGTGGAACTCGAGTCTCTGTGTCCCTGTCTGTGAGGTCATCTGTGTGCCTGTGCCCTTAAATCACTTCACTGCACTGAGCATCTAAGTACAAGGTACCACATAAACCCCTTGGGCTCTGCAAACCAGGTGTCCCCCTCTAATCTTGCCTCTGTGGTCTGACCCACCCAGAGTTCTGAGGCTCATCCAAAGAAAGGCACAGAGCCACAAAATATACCAGTTGTAGAGGAAGTATCCATCAGGGAGACTTGCTACTATCTGCAGAAATCCCTGGACTGACGGGTCAGGATCGGTGTCATTCCTTTACCCTCAAGGACACACTGATGTGTTTCAAGAAAGCCATAAATAACACCCATATGAATAGTCCCCAGAGTTAATGACTTCAAAAATGAACTGTTAACACTCCAAGGCAAAGCTTTTTTCCCAAGAGGGGGAAAGGTGTGCATATGCAGACTTGGAATCATTCTATCGTCATTTATTTTCTTTAGGAACTTCATCTGAATATTGGACCTATTCAAAGAAACCTCAGAAAATGTCTCTATATTCCCTTTGTGCATCTGATCTATCAAGACATGGTTGTTTTGTGATTGGGATTATGTGTTTTAAAACTATATTTACATGCAGGGTTTCACCTCATGAAAAAAAATTAATTAAAAATCTTCTGTGTCAGTGGTAATAATACATTCAGTAAGGAGTATCTTCTTGATCACAATTACACATTGTGAGGAAATAGATGCGTATAACACAATATCTTATTTATTCAACTGGTGAGTACTAATAGGCTTTCCATTTGCAGGCAGCAACCTCTTCTCTAATTATAAAAAATCAATTTGTTGTTGATCTGCTAATAGCCATGCTGACCCAGACATGTTGTACCTCTCTGAGAATGAGAGATTGAAGAATAAATGGATATTGTACCTGTACTGACTTTCCTTGAAACAGCACGGAAGGGCAATAGCTATTGTCTCCAAATCGATGCCTTTCCCTTTAAATTCCCTGGGAAATTTCAGGTGCTGTACATAAGGAGGGGAAAAAAATAAAAAATCATATCAAAGCATAAGATTCAACCTTATCCGTGAGCCTTATTTCATATATTTTAATTGCTGTTATTGCATTTTTAATTTAATTGTAACTGTTTCTTGTAGAAATGTTGGTACTACATCATCATTCATCCTTCATTTATCTTCTGATCTGACAGCCCTAGATGCATTTGTGTTGATGGCTTAATTGATTCTTACCCTGAGCAAGTGCAAGTGCGGAAAGTTCACACGACGCCATGCCAGGTTATCTTAACTAAAAGGATTGCAACAATTTGTGACTAGCAAGCAGACACACTTGAAAACATATTTTCATGGGGAAAGGAAAATAATTACAAGCATGTTTGGGATAAAAATTAAATCTGAAGGCAAAAGCAATTGCAAAGGATACTTAAAACCAAAATAGTTCATGTTTAATCAGAAAAGATAACTGGTTTGACTTTTTCCCCCACAGATTTCCTCTTTTTGTGTTTTCCTTTTATTTCCTTTTACAATAAATAAATAAAATAAATAAATAAATTAATTAATTAATTAAAAAAAAAAGAAGAAAAATGTCATCAGGGTGTAAAGAAGTAACCCCCACACATGCTTTTAAAGACAAGAAAATTTGTGGAATAAAAAATTTCTTTTAAAGTCCTTTGTAATTATAAAGGTTTAAAATGGTGGTATTTTACTCTACCAATTAACTGGTTTTCCTACATAATGGCCTCATTTTTTGGGGCCATCCAATGCCATTTAAAGGCAAAAGGAAATGAATCCTGGCTGTGTCTATGCAAAAGTGACCCACTGGGCTAGGCTGGCTAAACTAAGCTATATTACCCAGTCTATGAAAAAACAGATATTCATTAAATAGGAAGGGTTTTTTCATTAGTAGAAATTTAAGGGGTTTTAACCATTTTTCCTCCCTTGTCTGTTGCTTGTACATTGGTACTGCTATATGGGGTGCAAGATACCAACTTATCTGTCATATGATATATTACAGCTTCATTTTGCACCGCAATATTTAGCTGCACAAGTCATTGGGGAGTGGAGAATAAGGACACAACTTTCTTCAGAATTTTCAGAGGGAGAAGAAATTATTTTCTTAACATATAACTAATTGCTAGTTGGGCTGAGAAAGTGGAGTTGTGTTACTGAAAGAGTGAGTTAGGTCTAGGTCTCCAAGATGCTTTACCTGTACTTCTTCATTTGAAGCTAGTTTGAACTTTGCTGCCTTTAATGAGTTATTCTTACATAGAGATTTTCATTCGTTATAATGTGAGAGAAAATGATAATGGAGACATCTGTTGGTGCCTAGCCTAATTAAAAATACTCGCAGCATTGTAGCACCACCTGCAGGAGGCCTTTTATTTTACTAGGGTACTCTATGCACCATGGGGAAGCTTCTGTGCGAACATTTTAACACAAAGCATTCGAAACCTGAAGATCTTACAAAGGGATTAATAAAATAAATAAATAAAAAAGGAGAGACACCCATGATAACCCTGCTGCACAAATGACAAAACCATGCAACATGTGGGCTGTTTCTGACAGATAATTTTTAGATCTTGATTTTTAATTGTTTTTTTTTACCAGGTTGCTGCAAGAAATTGCTTTTAAAATTAGTTTTCCAATTGATTGTTTAAATTGTGGAGAGTAATACTGCAAATTTTCATGCTGATGTAGGTGGTTAGATTAGAGGTTCGTTAGGCGTTTAACACCTAAGATGCACACACTACAACAAACAATGGAGTCCTGGTACCTACCCCATAAGGGCAGGGAAGGATTTCCCATGCAAAGGAAAGCTGCCTGAGGACTTGGGTTCACATGGCTGAGTGCAGGCCACCAGCTCCAGCTGGTCCATGGGGATATTCCTTTCCATATGCAGTTGGGGCACATGGTGCTCTGGGACCACTGGGCCAGCAATACCTTTGTAGCTGTGATTTGGAATATGAATTGCGACAAATCCAAGGAATGTCAGAGATTGAGTGGGGGCCAGAAATGTAACAAAAATTCATCTGTGTACCCTTTTTTTTTTTTTTTTAAAGTAAGTGCAAGAGGATAATTCACAGATACTTAAGAATTCAGACACCTGAGCATGTCAGCTTAAGATTTCCATCCCACCTTTGAATGTCAAGGCTACTGTTGTAGTTAATTTGGTCATGACAGTCCAGATTAACAGGGACAGCCCTGGACTCAGGCCTGAGCCGTGGAAACAAACACTGCATTTCCATTGACTTTGCTGGTAGGACTGGACTATCTGGGGGTGCCAGCCTGAGTGAATGATGGGATCAGGGATGTCTGTGTCTTTCAGCACCCACATCCAGAAGTCTGCTGTGTAGAAAGGACTGAAGCCCTGGAGGGAAGGACTGAAGCACTGAGAGAAGCACTGCTCTCTGCTAGCTGCAGTGGGTGCAGATGGGGGAAAACACCACCACAAGGCCCTGTCACTTCTGCAGTTTTCTGCATAGCACAGATATGAAGCAGAATGTCCAAGCCTCCCCAAACAGCCAGCCACAGCATGTTAGACAAGATATCAGCAAGACCAGCAGACTGTGGAAAATTAGTGGGAAAAGGGAGGAACAAGGACCTGTGATTTGCAGTAGTTGGTCATGCTGTGCACATTTCTGGGGTATTTCATGCATGTGTAACTGCAGATACAAAACACATATGTAAAGCAGCTTTGCTCCTCCGCATGTGAGCTCTTGCAAACTGTAAAATCTTCAGTTTGTTGCTGACTTGACATTTTTCATTGTGTTCCCCCTCCTTACTCAGGGCACAGAATGTGTGCAGGAGAACCAGATCAGCAAGGGAAAGTGCAAAGGCAAAATTATATCCACTAAGACAGAAAGGCTCTGTGACACATAGCCGTTTGGAGTAGGAGAAAAATGCTGAAGACAGAGATGGGATAAGAGCCTGTCTTCCTCTCTGCCCAGAACCCCTGCAACCCCAGCGCTGCTGGTGGTGGAGCCCAATCCTCCACCTGAGCAATGTTACTCCTCCCTGGGCTGAGAATCTGAAGAAAGGTTTCTAGGAGACAAAAACAGTTCTGTCTGTACAAAGGTTGTGAGAGCAGCACCCCA